TATACATACACATATATACTGTGTATATATACATATGTGTGTATACACACACATATGTGTGTATATATACATATGTGTGTATATATATAGGTCTCTGTGTGCGATGCATCCCCTCCTCTGAATGCTAACCCTGCTGCCATCGATACACGTCTCACTCTGCTGCTGCAGCTTCACTTTAAACGTGACGCTGCAAAGATGACTCTTTGTGTCGAGTGTCTTCAGAGTCCTCCGGTGGAGCCGATCATAATAATCCTATTAATATGTTCACCGTGGTGAACACACGGCTGTGGTTTTAACGGACCGTTGCTCGTCGTTTAATCTCCACAGAGGAAGGATGAGCTCAGTCAGAAAGACAAACGTCAGATCAAAAGGAAACCTCAGGTTTTATAAAAAGAGCTCTCTCGTGTACGTTTACTGCGAAAGTTGCAGAAAAAAATTGTGTTTTAAAAACTGAAAGATTTCCTGCCTTTCTCTGTTTTATATCATAATAAACTGATCGACAGATGATTCCATAATGAAAATAATCCTTAGTTGCAAACAGTACAAAAAGCAATTATGAAATAAGGTAAATATAAATATAATAAAGTAATGAAATGTTGTACTTTGAGGCCTTCTGGCAGTGATCATCTAAAAATAGGAAAAGATGGTGAAACACTTCTTCATGTTAAAATAACTACAGAAGTGTCAAATACATCAACGTTGACTTCTGGTTTCACATGAGGAACAATCAGGAGGACTCATCCTCTGAGGAGCATGAATGTCTCATAACTGAGGACCAGCCCACAGCCTGAGAGTCTTAACATGTAGAGCTGTTATCGGTCTCCACTCGTCCTAGCATATAACCTCAGCATCTCTCTGAAACACCTCCTTCACTGCTTCTTCTCCTCCTGCAGGCGGAGATCGGTCCGGCTGCCTTGAACCTCACCGACACGTCCGTGAGTTCAAGCGGCAGCAGTGCGGCCGGCAATACCGGTAACACCGGCAAAGCTGCCGCTCCGCCCACCGGCAGCGTCTCCGCCCCTCCCGTGGCGGCTGCCCCGGGGAGTCGACGCCCCGCCTCCCCCGCCACCAAACCCCCATCCAAGGGCCCCGCCGGGCGAGCCAAGGGCCCCTGGAGGGTGGAGGACCTGGAGGGGGAGCTGGAGAGGAAGATCAAGCTGCTGGAGAAGGAGCGTCAGACCATGAGGAAGGAGACGCAGGGCCAACACCAGAAGATCAACCACGGCATCGACACCGTGAACCACCGCGTCACCGAGCTGGAGCACAGTGAGTCTGGAGGAGGAGGTGAAGGAGGTGAAGGAGGAGGAGGAAGGACTGAACAAATGAAGGATAAACTGATGCACTCCTGACGTGCATCAGAATGAAACTTTAATGAGCACAGTGGGTGAAGTGGGTCATCACAGCGGTAGAACAAACTGGAGATTAAAATAAGATGAGCAGAGAAACAAAAAAAATATCATATTATATAATGATATATAAAGGATCCTTATTGCAGGTTGTGTAGTTTGGGTCAATAAGGTGTCAGTTGTTTTTGATATTTTAGTCTTGAGTTTCGCTGGGCTGGTTGTCGGTGAAGTTTCCTCCGACGATCACCAGAAGCTTCTTTTCTTTGGTGGAAAGAGACGGAGACACAAAGACAGAGATGTCTGAAAACAGGAGAAGTCTAGAGGACGGATCGAGAGTTCAAGAGACAGCAAAGAAAAGAAGAAGCACTTCTCTCTACTTTTAGCTCTATCTTTCTCTCCCAACGTCGACATCTTCTCTGCCTCAAGAGCTGCAGAGAGGCTGATCGTTAACTGTGTGTGTGTGCGCGTGTGGTTACACACACTAGTTGGGACAAGAGAGAAGTGAAAATACGAGCCATTAACCAGGAGACAACCTCCAGTTCGTCAAAGCTTCAACCTGCATTCTCTCTAGTGTCCACCAGGGGGCGACTCCTCTGGTTG